TCATTTGATTGAAAATATTCCCAAGAGTCAGAATATCAAGTGATATTTTATAAAAAATGTTTCAGTTTCAAGGCAAATCATGTATTTTAAAGGTGCAGTTTTTCTGCAGTGGGATTTTTAGCCCATTGACTTTGTACACGTTTCAAGCCACCATTTTTATAACTTGATGATCTGGAATCGTCATCAAAGTTACAGCAAAGGAAGACCCTCATACAAAATTATGCCAAGAATATGACGTCATTATGACGTCATCACCTAATTTTTTATTGATTCTTGAACATTTAAGTTTTCCCCATAGGTTTTGTACACGTTTTTCTATACAACACTGTTATCGATCTTGCTGAGAGGTTCTCAACTTCAGCCGGGAATTAGTATGTGAAGGAAAGAGAAATCAGACTAAATTTTGTTCGATTACAAATATACCCAAGAGTCAAAATATCAAGTATTATATAACCGACATACGGATCCTTGTCAATTGATTAGTGGAACTCACATCACGTGGCATTCGTTATATTCTGCTTACAAAATTTAACACTTTTATTAATCCGATTGTTTTCAAACTTGGTACAGACTAAAACCACAATAACATAATGAGCACTGTCGAGTATTGTTACGATGACGTCATCATTAGACATGTGACGTCATTGTTAACTTGTTTATTTTAAGTCCCTATATATCTCATGAACAGTAAGTCAGATGGGGTTGAAACTTGGTATGGGGGTACGCCGGGATGTGTTACAAATACAAATTGAGGTGACGTCATCATGACGTCATCTTGTGATTATATATATATTTTTAAAAATTTTGAAGACTTTTGTCGTATCTCACAAACGCAATATTCCAAAATCCAAATTCTTTTTGAATGAGGTTGTTAGACAAAACTTAAATGCACACAGTTTTGCACAAAACAGAAAAACATGACCTCAATTAAAAAAAAAACATAATGGGGAAAAGCCGTATGTTCTGTTGGAAACAGACACAGAGCTCTAGTTTTTTGGCTTTTTCGCAAAATTTGCGAAAAAGCCTTTCTTTTTGTTCTGATTTTTAGGTGTTGGGCCTCAGCCCAACACCTATTGTTATTGTAAGAATTTACTATTTTTTTTTTTGTCAAAACGAAAACATATATGAACTTCAATTGTCAATACATGAATGCACAACCCACTGAAGATGTGCTTTTTTGCAACTACATCATCATGACGTCATCATGGGTCACGTGACGTCACTTCAAAAAATAATAAATTTAATCTTTGAAATTCAATATAAAATTAACCGTGAGAGACCGGAACTTGAATTTTGCGGGAATCGACATGATAATACATGCTCTTCCTTTCATCCTGTGCGCGTAAAATCACGTGACCCTTCCTTCCGGTCGAAACCGGAAGTGCCTAATAATTTGAAAGTGGAAAAAGATATGAACTTGCTTTCAACGGTGTTGGTGTCTGCCTGGATTGACCTTTAAAAAAAAAACGGGTGACGTCATGAAGAGTTGGAGCGCCCCCTAGCGGCAGGTTAAAAAACGCGAAAAACGCATTTTCACTTGATGTCTGTGGCGAAGTTTGCGGTAATCGCTTCAAAATTAATGTACATGATGACCATAATGCAGACAACACCTGTGCGCGAAAAAAAATGATTACGTCATCAGACCGGAAGTTACAATAAAAAGACCTTTAAACCTTCAAAAATTGCTAAAAAATCAACCGTGATAGAAATAATCAAGATTTGGCTAACTATAGCACAGTTAAAATAGCTCTTCAACTTTCTGGTAATGACGTCACAATGACGTCATCAAGTATCATATTACAAGCAATCAAAGATTTCTAGATTTAATCTTTGAAAATCAATATAAAATCAACTGCTTCAGATTTGATTTTGTTTTGTATAGCAATCGATACAATATTGCAGGGTCTTCATTTTTGGTATTAAGTGCAAAATCACTTGACCCTTCCTTCCGGTCGAAACCGGAAGTGCCTTATTATTTGAAATTGGCAGAAGATGCGAACTTGCTTTCAAAGATGTGAGTGTCTGCAAAGCAGTACTGTACAAAAATTTTACAGGTGACGTCATCAAATGTTAGAGCGCCCTCTGGCGGCATGTTGAAAAATTCAAACATGGATTAAAACATGCATATTTTGAGTTGATGTGTGTGGCAAAGTCTGCGGTAATCCATGGCCCAACACCGTGTGGTTGTTCCTACAACCTCTAGGTTTTTTGGCTTTTCTTTTTGGCGCCAAAAATCCCATAGACTTTGTATACGATTTTTCTCTGCAGCACTTTGGGTATTAATCTTTGTCAGACATCATTCAAAGTTGGCATAAGCATAGTCCCTATAGCAAAGATGTGTCCCGAAGATTGATGTCATGGTGACGTCATCGACTAATTTATTATAGAATTTTGAATATTTAATTTTGCCCATAGACTTTGTACACAGAAATAAAAACAAAATTGTCGATTTTCAAAGGGCATTTTCGACTGTTTGCCAGTTATTCATTTACACCACTCTTTGTTCAAGCAAAGACCCTAAATCAAACAACATTGTGTGATGGTGACGTGATGGTGACGTCATGATGACGTCATCCGGTATTTATTTATAGGCAATTAAATTGTGACACTTTTAATATTAAAAAATGCACAAGAAATCAACCGTACGCGTCCGCAGCATTCTGTTGCCGGCCAGTGGTAGAGTAGGTTGAGGTCTTTATTTCATTCAGTGTGCGTGCAATCACGTGACCCTTGCTTCCGGTCGAAAGAGGCCGAAACCGGAAGTGGCTTATTATTTAAAAGTGGTAATAGATATGAACTTGCTTGCAACGGTGTTAGTCTCTTGGCTGATAGTATTCTTTAAATCATCTACCGATGACGTCATGCAATCTTCGAGCGCCCTCTAGCGACAGGTTGAAAATTTTCAAAAGTGAATTTTGAATAGATGTCTGTGGCGAAGTTTGTCGGAATCGCCCAAATATTGGTGTATATGATGACCTTGACCCACTTAAGACGTGTGCGAAGTTTTAGGCGTATGGCGTCATCAGACCGGAAGTTCCGTTGAAAAGACCTTTCCTTTTTTCAAAAATTACTAACAAATCAATCCGCACAGATATAATCTTGAATTACCCATTAAATGATAGCGTAAACATTTGCCTCAACAGTGCCAAGTTCCCAGCTTGTCAAATTGTTCACACAGTTGACACGGCGTCGGCAAAAAAATATCCTTGCGCAAGTTGCAGCAGAGAGACTAAAAGATGCCTTGTGTGTGCATGTATACATTGACCAGATTCGGCATCGCCTGCTTCCCATACACCACACATGCACGTGGTCGTGAGGGCGTGTTTTATCAGGACTTCAGGTACAATTACCTGTATACCACGAACGTACATGTACATAGCTTACGTATAACTGCCCAAACTGTCGTCTTGAAAAAAAAAAACAAGAGGACTACATGTATATGCACATGCATAGTGAGTGTGCATATCGGCACTTTATCTAGCTAGCACACTGTAATTTCACTTTTGGCCGTTTTGATTGTATTGTGCCACTGTTTTACTGCCAGGCCAAGTGCATATCTCATCACGAGTTGTGACTGGTGAACATCGTAAACGGTGTATGGTATAAATATTCACATGATTGGGGGCGATTCTCTTTACAGAATTTCATCGATTGATTGACAGTGTAATAAACCCCCAAACAGGTGATCGCGATACAGAGTTTGCCTTTTGTTTTGTATTAAATGCAAAATTGGCCCTCAAAATGACAAGTACCCCTCTGTAGATCTTCTCAAGATGGACAACTGCTCCTCGAAAGCTTAATTAGTCGACCGCTCACAACATTGAAATTGTGGCTCTCCTGAAGAAGGAAACTGACTCCTGAAAATAATAGTGCTTTTCACGCGAATAAAACAGACGCTGAACTGGCCACCAAAAGCAAGTGCCGCTCTCGCAATTACAAAAAATGGAGATGCACTATCAATTTGCCCAATGAAGACAATGTGTCTAATTGTGCCCCGACCCTTCTCAACGCGGTATCTGAGAAACACTAATGGGAAGAAAGTTTGACATCTTTGAAATGGTGTATAAAAGTTTCGTCAGAAATGTTTATTGAAAATGAGCTTTGATGAATGACATGAACGGTAAACATTTTCAGGAAAACGAATTACATTTCAACTAACAATTAATTGAGAATATTTCTTACAAAAATGACACTTTAGTTGTTAAAATGTTAATAATAATTGATAACATAACTAATCTGTAATTGAAAAAGTAATCTCAAATATTTTGTTTGTCAAAAGAATTATCTTTAGTCTAAAACTATAGTATTGTACAGATTTCAAACTGCAGACAAGACTTATGGTATTGTATGAATGAGATTGGCTACATCTTCATGTAATGTAAAGACAACATTCCGCATACATGTACAGTGTATACCTTTTTCTGCACTCTGTACACTTTAAGTATGTGGTTATGGTTTGTCCTAGTGATTTAAAACAAGAATCGTACAAATCAAATTTATCTTCTTCACCCATGATGAAAAAATGGGCAGTGACAACGACAAATTTGTGTGCTTGTTACAAGTGAAATCACTGGTTTATGTGGTCATAAATATCTGCACGACAGTAAAAAGTTTGAAATTCGTTTACTTCGTAAAGTTATGATTACATGAATCTGGGACTAAGGAACGTTTTCAATTGTGTTAGAAAATACTGAAATACTAAGAAAATGTTCTTGACTCTCTATAGACTCTCTACAACTGCCAAAGTGGCGTCAGGTTGCAACATTTTTTTTGCGTCACACGTATAATGTGTTGGTGTCCCTGTTACATGGCGAGCCATGTTATTTGTCATGTAAGTAGACAATCAAGTCAGAATAACAAAAAACATTATGTTTAAAGTACTAAGATCCACCAGTTCTATAATTTGAAACTGCAAAAGGTTAAAGAAAATATTTTGCATCCATACATAAAGCATGTCTAAATTTGGACCCGTTATTTATAGAGTGACAAGATGACAAGATGAAAAACTTGAAGATAATTGCTATTCACATATCAATTGCCAGACTTTACATAAACATTTAGGCTTATGTCACTAGCAGTCACGAATTATCTCATGAAGCCAACAAGGTCTGTCACTGCATGGAATGCAAAATAACAATGTTCCCCGCACCACCGTGATGGGTTTGTTATGAGTGTTCTTTTGGACATGCAAGCAGTCTTTGTGTACATTTCACGGTTGTTCATATGTGAGAGAATGATACACATGTAGCTTGTAACAGCAGAAGTCAATTTGGGTTCTTAATACTGGCTGAGATTGTAGAATCACCAAGTAACTCCGTATAGCTGGAAATGTGTGATGGAAGAATGTTGCCGACAGTGTGGAAGCAGATAGGTTGGCATAGCTTCATTTCATGGGCTACAGAATTTGCGTCCCTGAATAGAATAAAATGCGAAATGGTTCATTGGAAAAAGTACCATACTAAAATCATGTCTGCTAAAAAAAAGCATATCAAATATCACTTGCCAAATTTTTAGCACCTACTGGACACAATCACTTTAAAAGCTGCCACTTGCACTTCAAGTACAATATTTGCAGGAAGAGTTAAAGGTTTGCATGGTGGACATGATCAATGAATGCGAGTTATGCAGAAACACCATGTGATTGATATCTCATTTGAATTGTGTGGTTCTGAGAAAACTGGTTCTTCTCAGAATCACACAAATCACAAAGAGATATCATTCACATGGTGTTTGATTATAGCGCAAACCTCTCATTCATTGAGTTTAGTCAGTACTCAAAGAAACTATACACAGAAGCTAGCAAGTCTTTTAAAGAAAGAGTCTTGATCTACATGTTTAATCTCCAATACCACCACCACCCCCCCTTAAAAAAACAAGCTCACTCACCAGAACAATGTTGAATACTGGCATGCACACTGATACTGATGCAAAGCACACTGGTGATAACTTTGAGAAAAGATGTCGATTTCAGCCTGATGACTTCTATGTACAATCGAGTGGAAACAAGAACGACATGTATGAGAATCTATTAGCTTCATTAAAAAATGAGAGTTAAAGGTTTGGATAATGGACATGATAAATGAATTGGATTTATGCAGAAACACTATGTGATTGATATTTCTTTTGAATTGTGTGGTTCTGAGAAAACTGGTTCTTCTCGGAACCACACAAATCACAGAGATATCATTCAAATGTTGTTGTTTTTTAGAGCAAATCTCCCATTCATTGAGTTTAGATTCAGTACTCAAAGAAACTATACAAAAGCTAGCAAGTCTTTTGAAAGAAAGAGTCTTGAGCTACATGTATACTACCCACCCCACCCTCACCCCTTACAGCTCACTCACCTGAACAATGTTGAATACTGGCATGCACACTGATGCTGATGCAAAGCACACTGGTGATAACTTTGTGTGAAGAGATGTCGATTTCAGCCTGATGACTTCTATGTACAAATAAGTGGATACAAGAACGACATGTATAAGAATCTACTAGCTTCATTAAAAAATGAGAGTTAAAGGTTTGGATGGTGGACATGATCAATGAGCAAGCAAGTTTTAGTTTGTAAAAGTAAACCACAATGGATGTCAGAATATTCATCTGAAAAGGTGAAAAGATGACACCTCTTAGAAGCTTGTACTCCCACTACTCTTCATGCAAAGATTAAATTTAGCTGGTCAAAAAAGGAATATACATGTATACTTTACAGTTATTCATTAGACATTGAAATTACACGTACATTAATTTTTGGGGGGAAAACGTTATGTGATACAAATGATGATTATTCACTAAACTATTGCTAGTAAGTTGACAAGCAGAGTTCTGAAGATGTTTGAATCTTGATCTTTCAAGATAATGTTTGACAATATCTTCAATAAAATTGCTCAAATTATATAGTTATAAAAATTGCTTCATGGTAACTGTAATATGTCGGAATCACTGCAGCATCTACCATATCCATATTTCTGACATAAACGTGGTCAATCAATGTGCCGTTTTCTGTTGTTTCATCATTAACACACTGTCTATAACCATAATCTTGCATTAACTTTTCAATCTGTGAACAGTCTTTCAGAATGTCTTCATTAAAATCGCCCATTTTACAATGCATCTATTGGACACTTTATGAAGTTCACTCAGCAAAATTTTAAGATAGTCAACAAATTCGTTCATCAAATATGAAGCCGGACGATAAATTACTGCCACACAGTATGACATCTGACTAATTATCTGAAATGCAATATGCTCTAGATTCTGAACAGGAAGAGTCAGTCTGCTAAATGTTCTGTTCTTTCTACCAAATACTGCTACACCTCCACGACATTGCTGCTTCAACGTTTGTGTTAGTTTACTTGTATTATCATATGAAGCACTTTTCCCAGTTCCAGCTCCACCTGTCACAAATACATGAAATGGTTCAGGATTTTTCCCATTTATTTTTTGTAAGCACCAATTACGAATCTTATTAAAGACCTGTCTCTGCTCTACGTTCAATGATCTTAATAAATGTAGTGCTTCTTGCTTTGATATTTTTGCTGGATGTGGTTCAATACTACATATTTTTTCTACCATTGCATCAGCTTGCAAATCAGGGATATCAAATTCATTGTCTTCCTCTGATACTTCTTCACGTTCTGCTTCACACTCAAGTCTCTCTTGCTCAGCCTTAGGACAAATCAAAGCCCATGCATCTTCCTGAAGACCAATTTTTTTCAGATACTGTTCTGCCGCTTCAAGAGAATCAACATTTTGTTCATATATGGAGCGGTTACTTTCAAGAATGTACCTCACAGATTTCAATTGACCATTAAGATTTACTGCACCATTTTTATAAAATTCTGCAAATGTTTCAAACTGAGGTGGTTTCAAATGCACATCTACACGATATGGAAGAAACAACTGCAATATACTTTGGTAATATTTCTCAGGATATTTACTCTCTGAAAATCCAGGGTATCTTATCACTGCAGGTTCAGTTTTACTGCGTTTCTGTATGTGACCCAAACCATCTTTCTAGTTTGGAAACATTTATTTCAATGATGTCATTCATTACAATTATGTACAATCATGTATAAATTAAGAAAGGTCAGTATTAATATATATGACAGTTATGTACACAGTGATTACTAATAAGTGTAATATTAAATGACAACAGTTAGGTATAAGGTTAAGCAGACGCTTTTGTGCCCTTACCTATGGACAGAAATACAACCAAAGTACTGTAACAAGGGACAAACAAAACACAACGGGAGACAGACAGGACAAGTGTGTGAGACAAGGCCTAAATATTAATGCACATATAACATTTCAATTTATGGATATGACTCGATAAAATGAGTTTTTAAATTTTTGACAAAGACAGATAGCGAGGGTAACAGTTTAAGAGAATCATCTAAACTATTCCAGTACAAGGTGCCTTGATGAATCACACTGTTTTTTGACATTGACGTCCTGTTAAATTGGACAAACAGATTTCCCCTAGCACTACTTCGGGTGTTATATACATGAACATTAGATGCTAAGGTAAAACAAGAATCAAAACAGGACTAGAGTAGATTATGCTTAAATTTAAACATTAATTTTCCTAAATTAAGGTAATATAAGTCATTACATTGTAATATATTTAATTTAGCAAATAACGGAGCAGAATGATCACGATAGCCAGCATTTGAAATTAAACGAACTGCTCGCTTCTGTAAAGTAAGTAATTTGTTACACTTAGATGGCAAACTGCCCCAGGTCAAGATTGAGTAATTTAAGTATGGTAAAACAAATGAATTATACAATGTTAATAAAATCTTACTCGGAAGATAATATTTCAAACGATTCATTATTCCAACGTTCTTTGATATTTTTGTCGCTACTTCATCAATATGATGTTTCCAAGTGAGATTTTCATCAATAGTTACACCCAGAAATTTAGTTATCTTAACCTGATTAAGCCTTGAGTTATTTAAATTCAGAGGAACAGATTGTGTGTACTTGTACTGATTGGCACAAAAAATCATATAATTTGACTTGACGACATTAATAGATAATTTATTTGCGAGAAGCCATGTACTGATCTTTTCAAGTTCCATATTTAGGTTACTAATTGCTTCATCTACATTATCGTGAGTGTACAACAAACTTGTATCATCTGCAAATAAACAAAATGTTACAGTGTCTGAAGTATTACAAATATCATTAATATAAAGAAGAAATAGTAGAGGACCCAATACGGAACCCTGAGGTACCCCGCACGTAATGAATCGGCTAGTTGAAGTTACAGATTGAAACGATACATACTGGTTTCTGTTATGCAGATAACTTTTCAGAAGGTCCAAAGCTGTTCCCCGCACTCCATAATGATCTAATTTACTGATAAGAATATCGTGATTTACAGTATCAAATGCTTTTGATAAGTCTAAGAAAATGCCTATGGAGAAATTATTTTGATCAATTGCATTACATAATTTATTAACTACATATGATATCGCTAATTCAGTTGAACGATTTTGTCTAAATCCAAATTGAGACTCAGAAAGAATATTATTTTTAGTGATAAAAGATACCAATCGTTTGTAAATAAGCTTTTCAAATAGTTTTGAAAATGTAGATAAGACTGATATGGGTCTATAGTTGGTAATGTTATGCTTACAACCTTTTTTATATATCGGTGTTACTTGGGCTATTTTTAGATCATCGGGAAAAACTCCAGCTGTCAAACACTTGTTAAAGATGTCAGCCAAAGGCTTAGCTAAAGAATACCGTGCTTGTTTAATGACAGAAGAACTTAAACCATCAAATCCAGGGGCCTTCCCAGAAGGTATTTTGTTAAGATAATCAACAACCTCTTCCTTGGTAATAGGTGTAAGAAACAGTGAATTTGGACATTTGTTGCTTAGAAATGTTCCAGTTCATACACTGGTGATTTGTTTTTCTTGTTAGTGTTTGCATTATATATTATCCTGTATTCTGAGCAAAATGTGGCAAGGCACATCACATTAAATTCATCAAGATCTGGTCTTGCTTTCATCACTTTCACTTGAATTATTAGATTCATCCTCTTCTTGGTTTTCATGTTCATCTTTCAAAGGATTGTCCCATTCACAGTTAATCTCAATTGCACTATACGATTCATAATGCTCCTTTAGATACCGTAGTGCACGCTCAACATATGTTCTCTGCTGACATATTGATACTGATAATATCCTTTGAATGACAATTTTCTCTTCAACTTAACTTTGATTAACTGATTGTTATTTCCACATCTAGGTAATGATGTTACTGTTTCTGAAATATTTGATGGTACACATACAACTGGCCCATGCACAGCATTCTGACCTCCTCTGGGTAAAGCCATCATTTTCATAAATGCTACATTAATTGCAATCAGATGTTCCTCCAATGTATTCAAACAGCTCAATTCCTCAGGGATCTCTTCCAATGCCAAATTGTTTGCACAAGCTTCTGCTGGTATCTTATTCTGAAGCAATTTTCTATGACATGTAAAGCAAATCCACAAACTTGATCTACTTGATTTTGACACACGACACGTATCACCACAGTTTCTGTTGGCTTCACATGTATGCAAAAACTTACCGGATATGCTATCAACACATTTATATTTGTCTTGATTACACTTTACCACCTGCTTTCGAAAAAGGAGTTTATGACAAACTGCACATATTGTATTCAGGTCCTGATGATAGTACATCTTGCCTCCAATTTCTTATTACATTGCTCATAATACGTTGACTTGATCTCTTTCTATTTGCTCGTTGATTATTCCTTTGCTTCATATTCTCACGATAACGCTGATCCCTGTGATATTTAGCTTTCTGAAAATTTATCACTTTCATCCTTTATAATTTGTTCAAAGAGTACTTCTTTTTAATAGATTTAATAAGAGCATTTCTGTAGGATAAATCACTATGGTACTTCTTTTTCATAGATTTAATGAGATCATTTCTATATGATACATCACTGTGGTACTTCTCTTTCATAGATTTAATAAGGCCATTTCTATATGATACATCACTATGGTACTTCTTTTTCATAGATTTTATAAGACCATTTCTATATGATATATCATTGTGGTATTTTTTTTGGCAGTATTAATCTTTTGTTGTTTATACACTTTATTCTCATGGTATTTTTGCCTCATGACTCCAGTAATTTTTGCTGCATTCTCTCTGTATCTTTTTTTGCCATACTCAATAGCACCTTGTCTGCATTCCACACATTTATGGTATTTTTCTTTCTTTGCACACTCCTTTTTTTCCCTGCAGTCACTCTTTACTTTGTGTTTTTGTACATGCTCTTCATTTTGTTCATCTTTCTTTCTTTGATATCTTTTTCTTTGACGGTCTGTATCAGATTTTTGCCTCATCCTTAAGTTTACACGTTTACGTCTCTTTGAAGTTTCCAACACTGGTGTTTTTGGATGAATTTCTATCATGCTTCTCATTATTGTCTAGAACCTTTCTTCTGAACCCACGTACACTTGTCACTAAATCGTAATGTATTTGATTCTTGTGATACAAATAAATTCCTGACTTTATACAACTACCGGTATCAGTACTACTGGCTGGACATATTTCTATTTGAAAATAAATACCACTTATTAACATCATCATACGTATAAATACCGACATCCAACATGTGTGCTGTTACAATGATTTCGACCTCAGTAGCCCATGTACCATGACAACACAATCGCTCCCTCATTACATAGTCTTCCACTGTTGTATAACCTTCACGTAAATATCCCTTGAACAAAGCTGCATTCTCCAACAAATGATGAACAATTGCCAATCTCAGTAACATATGATTATCTTCAGTCCCTGATATAGCATAACTAATAGCTCTGTAGAAACAGTTACCATCACCTTGGATTGTCTTTATAGAACCAGGTTTACTCAACTGCTAACATCTCACGGGAATTTCATGAGCATCTAGACAAAGTGTTGTCAGACCATATTTTTGACACAATGCAATCTTATGGTCATAATCTAATGGAACAAATTTCAAATTGACTGGTTGATAAGATTGTATAATTTCTACATCACGTTCACTCTGTTCTTTTCTTTGTACATTACTACAAGATGGTTCACTGCTTCCACTGACAGTTTCACCATCATTACAGACACTGACATCATCTACCCAGACAGTAACACCTGTAATTTCAAACTGTTCATTGTCACTGACATTCATAGACTTTCCAAGTTCAGTACAATACCTGCACACACCTTGCCATGATGACACACATTTGAGCAAGCTTCTGCCTTCACTGTGCTGATGTCCATGCTGATTTCTAGAATGTGAATCAAAAATGTCATA